GGGATCAGCAGGCACAGGGGGAGTCACTGTTCCCCCGAGCACCACCAGGAGTGACCAGGAATAACGGTCACAAGCTGGCAGAGGGTAGGTTTAGGCTGGACATCAGGAGGCGCTACTTCACGGTCAGAGCAGCTAGGGTCCGGAACCAACTTCCAAGAGAGGTGGTGCAGGCTCCTACCCTGGGGGTTTTTAAGAGGAGGTTGGATGAACACCTTGCTGGGTTTGTTTGACCCCAGTACTCTTTCCTGCCATGGCAGGGGGTCAGACTAGATGATCTGCTCAGGTCCCTTCCGACCCTAGAAACTATGAAACTGTGTGCTGCACTACAGAAATTGTGACTTCATGTTGGGACAAGACACCAGATGGACAGGTAAGGGAAAAAATACAGAAATTGTCTGACCTTTCAAAAAATGCTGGACTGAACTACTTGCAGAAGTTGATGTTTAAAATTGGGACTTGTTCATAGTGCAGGGCTGAGCTAACAAAGTACTGACAAAGAACACAAATTATTTCTTTGTAGAGGAACAGGTGAATGCTTCAGACAAAACAATGAGTAATTCTACAGCTTTACTCTGCCAGTTAACCGACTGTATTTTTATTACGTGAAATTGTACTCAAGTGTCCTCTCATTCATTTCAACAACTGTTAGGCAAAACAAAACAAAAAAAACACAAACAAAATGAATGGTGCTATGAAACCATCCCTCAGCCATAGCTTCTCCTAATTATTCTTTCACACAAAATTCACCTGTTAGCATCTACAGAACACACCTGCATACTACTCACAAGAAAACTGCATGCATCCTATTCATAACTTTGGAATCATATTTTAGCACATTTTAAGATAAAAGAGTAAATATTCTTGGGAAAAATGTTAAACACACACTGTTGTAGATGCAGAATGGCATATAAACCAAAATATGGCTGATACCTGGCAGGAATTTCACTGAGCTGATTCTTGCTGAAGTTCACTGTGGTGACAGGATTACTTCCTACTGCATTGAATACTTCATCAGGAATCAAAATTGCTTGTTTCTCACTGAACAAAGAAAAGCACTTCATTTAGCAGAGTAAAACGAACATGTTAATCTATGTATTAGACTTTATTCCCCCTTTTACACCAAAAATAAGCAGTAAAGTAAGTTTTCTTCTAGTCCAGTTAAACAGATTACAACAAATTACAAAGTTGACAGCATGGCTGGAAGATGCTATGACTTAAGCAGTTTATGCATATAGGCCTGTGTGAAGCGGCAAGTATTTGCTTCAGATTCGGCCGATTCAGAGGGATGGTGATTTGATTGGGAGATTTGAATCACTGTCCTGATTCAATTCGGCCAAATCAGATCCAAAGATTTGGCGCCACTTCGGCCATAGGCTAAACAGGCAGCAATCCTCACCATGCTGGACACAGCTGCCTCCAGCCGGTAAATCTGCTGGGGTTGAGGGAGGAGGGAACTGGGGCTAGGACAAGCTGCCCAGCTGGGGTGGGGCATACAGGATGCAGGTGTGGCAGCACTTGGAGCAGGGGCTATGCCCTGCTGCCGCTTACCCAGTTGGGGGGGCGGGGCGGGGAAGAAGGGGGCGGGATGCAGGAACAGCTTGCCCCACGCAGAAGGGGGCAGCTTGTCCCAGCCCCAATCTCTCACCCACGCCCCTTCCCTCCCTGCTCCGCCCACAACAGACTTACCAGCTGGAGCTAGCTGTGTCCAGCATGGTGAGGACTGCTGCCTGTTTAGTCTATGACCAAATCTCTGAAGCGGCACCAAATCTTTTCCAAATCAATTTGGAGGCTTCTGATTAAATTTGGAGGTTTTTATTGGTCTCCTGATTCAATTCATATTTGGAGATTTGGTGGCCGAATCAGGCCAAATCTTCTCCGAATTGAATCAGCTACCAAAGCTTCGCACATCCCTAATAACCACTATGCAGATAACCAGTTTGTTACAATGCAAACAATGGGTAAAGAATTGGAAATGGCATTGTATTAAACATTTGAGTGAATAATGCACTTACCTGCAAGGTATATAAAGGGAGTAAGCATGGATAACTGCAAAACACGTACCTATATTCTAGCAATTTTAATGCAGTTATGGCATGCATGTTAATTCTTGACTCGCTTGGAAGAGTCATGGCTGTCACAGGAGATTCCTCACTTGGGCTAGTTATATCATCTACAGAAAACATGTACATAGGCAAAATTATGAAAACAGCATCCAAGTACTAATATCTGTATAAGAATATACTGTACATAACACCCCATTCTCTACAGTCTGTTGTTTTTCATTTGCAATCTTAATGCAAATTCTGTGAGTTTTGAAAACAGCATAGGATATATGTGTTTAGTGAGTACTGAGGATTAAGGCACGCAAAGAGTTGATTTATGCATGCCCAATCTTTGGCATAAAGCCTTAACAAACCAACTACATGCGTGAGTATTAGTATCTGACAGCAAGTACAGCTATATTGTCAGCCTAACTTCCCGTGAAGAAGGAAACTATAGCAACTTTAAGTTCATGGAAGAGCGCCTGGCAATAGATCTAGGTTAGCAAGACCAATCATCCTTTTAAGATAGGGAGTCAAAAACAGAAGCATACATTATTATTCAACCCAAACTTCTATGAAACAAGACTGCTGCTGCCAGCTAGCTCTCAGACACCAGGGTAACTAGTGCAATTCCTAAAATCAATATTGTATTAACTTTATTAATCTAACACTAGCTTTCTTACCTACATATAACATTTCTATATACAACAAATGAGCATTTGAGTATCTGGTCTATTGCCAGATTCATTTTACTTGCTTAGTGCTAGGACTGAATTTTTCTGAATCCAACAATTCAAAGACTAAGCGCCCTACAGACGTTCAGAGTGCCAGCTCTGACCCACTGGAAATCCAGTGGGTCAGAGCAGACTCGTTTAATCGAGTCTGCTGGAGCATGGAATAAACATGTTCCAGCAGACTAGAATCACGTGCATCAGCATCCCTGCACCAAAAAATGGTGGTGGGCCGCTCTGAACTAAAGCCTGTTTGATGATCTTTATTTCAAAATGCCCCACTATCATTTTTCAGTGCAGGGTGCACTAATACAAGTGACAATCGGACACTTGAATTAGCACAGCTCACTAACTAAAGTGCCCCCTGACGCCTCCTAGAGCACGCGTAAAAATGCCCTAAATGAAACTTCATACCTACACTAAACTGATTAACGCTGCCATCTTTTGGTGCAGCAAGATAAAGCACATTATTAAAGAAAAATCAAGTGCCATCGTTTTTAGTAAAACATCTTTTGCTCAAAACAAAAATGGATTGGGGGGGTATGTGTACCTGTACATATGTGTAGTATATTTGTCCAATACCAACATCTCTTTTATATTAAATGAAGAAATAAAATGTAGACAAACAAAAACAGCTAATTTGGTTACATTCAGAATAATTTTAAAGTCTTGTAAGCGTTTTGAAAAAGTGGATTTTTCAATTTATATTAAAGAGCAACAGTGTACCTTTGATTTTGCTTCTTAGATACTTCAGAAGTTCTTGGGTGCCTTTCTAAAAAGACAGGGAAAAATGTCAGGGAAAAAAGCACTTGCTAAATATTACTTTAGTAGTTTTCTTTAGACAAAGAATGAAAAATTTCAAAATTGCTGGTAAAGTTCATTATACTGTTATTATGTTATCTGACACTTCCCATAATAAAATCTCCATTTTCAGTAGCTTATAACTTTACCAAACTTTAACTGTTTCAGGTGAGTCTAAGAAAAAAAATTAAGCTAAATTTTGAGAACAAGGTCAGGGAAAAATATACTTGTCCGTACAAAAATAGTTAGGCAACCTATTCTTTAAAGGCTCTAGCATAGTGCTTCTCAAACTTTTCCTCAGTATGACCCCACTTCCTCAGCATGGCTCTTCACTCTCAACCCACAGCCCCCCACCCCCGAGACCCCATGTGCTGATGTTGTAACCAACATTCCCTCTAAGGAGCAATGGTCCGTGAGCGCACTGCCTCGGTCCAGCGTGGGACACTTACCGAAGGGGGACGGGGGCTGGAGGCTGGGGCCAGGGGCTGGAGTGGGCTCCCCAGCTCTGGGGAAATGCTCCGCTCCCCCCACATCAGGGCTGGGGAGTGGAGCACTTCCCTGAACCTGGCAGAGCCTGTGCCAGCCACCCGCCCCAGCCTCCATCCCTGCCTTCACCTTGGGGAGGAGCTGTTGCTTGCCCCAGTGAGCCTCCACCGGCTCTGGGACACTGCTCCGCTCCCCGGCCCTGACGCCACATGCCTCCTCACTCCCCGAGGCGATGTGGGGGCGTGGAGCAGTGTCCCGGAGCCAGCAGAGCCTCACTGGGGCAGGCAGCAGCTCCTCCCCGAGATGAGGCAAGGCAGGGATGGAGGCTGGGCCAGGGGGCTGGCGCGGGCTCCACCGGCTCTGGGGAAGTGCTCCACTCCCCAGCCTTGATGCGGGGGAGTAGAGCACTTCCCCAGAGCCGGCAGAGCCTGCACCAGGCTCCCGCCCCAACCTCTCCTGGTGCGCGGCCTTGAAAAGGCTGTGCACGGACACACTTTTAGTTGTGTGCGGCCGTGCACGCGCACACCTTAGAGGGAACCTTGGTTGCGACCCTATTTGGGGTTGCGACCCACAGTTTGGGAACTACTGCTTTAGCATCCACAAATCTTTGCCACAGAACAGAAATTTAACAGCTGGCAACCTTCATATCAGAAACAAGCAACCTTTATGTCACAAATATCCACCCAAATTTGGTAGTTACAATCATTTGGAAAAACTACTGTTTACTTCTTCCCCCAGTACTCTTAGGGCACACAGAATTGCATATGCCTCATCTCCAGACTCTTATGGCTGTACGTTCCCTCCAGGTAACAGGCACTGGGGTAAAGCTTGACATTCCCCCATCATTTCCATTGTTTCTCTTGGTTGCTGCAAACCTGGCATCAGAACTGAAAAAGGAAGCCTGTCTCTCCTGTGCCCTCAATAACCTCCACCCCACATATGCTGACGTCCTGGTAATGAGTCGAGGCTGCCAGACATGCATGGGGACAGAGAAGACAGACTGGGACAGCAGGTGAGTGGAAAGATTGAAACCAACTGGGAGTTGAGGAAAGATGAAGACTGGGCCTGAGAACTGGGAGGTAATGATAAACAGAGACTACCTGAATAAGGAGACTGGGAGCCATGCAAGAGGAAATGAGGTGGGGAGTGTATGACACAGCCTGATGACTTGGACTGGAGTGACACAGAACTGAGATCTTGGACAAGGGAACTGGGGACAAAATTATGGTGAGAGCAGAAATAAGAAAACATGAACAGGTAGCAGAGAAGTTTGGGTCTCAGACATGATGCAAAGGAAGGGGATTAGGACTAGATGGGCAAGGCCAATGGGACTGGATAAGAAGCAGGGTTTTTGGCACAACAGAGAACATATTCCTTCCACAGCCTGCAACGGAACTTAAGATACTCTTGAATCATCCTTCACTTGCTGTCAGCAAATAGCAGCCCTGGCTGGAATGATCTACTTGGGGTCGATTCTGCTTTGAGCAGGGGGCTGGACTAGATGACCTCCTGAGGTCCTTTCCAACCCTACTTTTCTATGATTCTAAGTCTGTGAAACTGGCTGCCAAAGCATAGCCGTAATGCAGAAAAGGACAACTGCTCCAGTTCAATGCTCAAGTGCCAGAGAGCTAGGTGATAACCAGAAGGTTCTGATTCTGCTAAATGGGTGTCAATCTGATGCCATAAAACAGAATTTCTGCATCTTTGGCCTGATTAAAATAATAAGAAAACAACACTCCAGCACACACAAAAAATGATGAAAACTTCAATTAGGCACACATATGGGAATGCCTGAATTGATTTGGCTTCTCTATACCTACGTCTTTAATTCCAAGATCACATTCTATTTTTAACAGGTGGACTCCTCAGAGATAAAGGCCAACATTCATTTAATGAGGAGCTATTCAGTATCTTGTTTTTTGTTTATTTTTGATGCATAACTACATACTGTTTAAACATCACTCTGAAGAATTATCATCATAGGCTTTTAATGGCATTTACCAATATAGTAGCAGAGTACTTCACAAAGATAACACCACCAATGACAGATGAAGGAGTAATATTACTCCCATTAAATAAATGGAAAGCTAAAGCGCAGTAAGATTAAAGTGAAATATTTCCCTAATGCAGGTGCCCAATTTGGAAGATTTCAGTTCTCATGTGTAGGGAAATTAGCACTATATGCCATTTACCACATTCAAAGGACATCTCCCTGGGAATTGTATTTCTGCCAACAGGACACC